CACAAACAAAACCATTGATTACCTCATGCTATAAATTTATGTATATTTTGACTGTAACATATGGATCACATGAATATAGGCACGTTCCACGAAAACAATAGAAGACAAAAAAAGTGAGTAGTAAATAGCACGGTAAATGGTGATGGGTAATCGGTTCCTATACATGATTTGAATTAGAAACATTGTCTTTGTAGAGAACACTTTGCAGTCATTTTCAAAGCACCATTTCCTTTCTGGCCGAGACTTTGAACAGAATTTTCTTTCTTTCTTTCTTAAAATAAATTGCCCAGAGCGCGGGGGTGGGAGAGTTCGAAGTCCCGGGCACTTCTTTTTTTCCTTTCAGAAACTTCTCTTCCTGAGACACGTATCCTATTGATTTGTACTTACTTTCCATTTATCGTGTCCCATCACTCCTGCTCTTCCCCCTGTAAGCCTCTGACCGACTCCTCTCCCGCGGCCGGTGCCTCTGCTGGAACTTCACCAAGCAAAGGCCTTTGCGCTCTCTCCGGCGCTCGCCAGTTCCCGGCTGAGTACCGCCTCTGCGTTTGGCTGGTTTGGGTAACTTCGCTTTGCCTCATTTCTCACACTTTCATACTTTACCTTTTATGGTGCAGATCTGCAAGACCGCCCTTCCCCGGCCTGCCTTCCCCCGCCGCGGGCATCAGGGGCAGAATCGCATCATCTCGCGAGTACGTTGCGTCGTCCTTCTTGCGCCGAGGGGCGTTGGCAGCGTCTGCAGCCGCGGTTGGGTCGGGGCCGCCCGCTCGGTTGTGGCCGGGGGGGTTCATCTCCCCCTCTGGCAGCACCGTCCCCGTCCGCGCCCGGGTGCGTCCCAGCGGGTGACCGCGTGCCCCTGAGGGAGTGAACCGGCTCGAGGGCAAAACAGTGATCAGCAATAAAAACGTCGGATACAGAAACACCAGTGCCTTTCTTGGAGTCTGGAAGGAGTCGTTTCTTCTCCTTCCAGCTTTGGAACCGGGTCATGATTCACTTCCAGATAGCGGGGAAACGGGGAAGGAGAACGTGATGCGCAGGAGGGCCCCACGCTGTCATAGTAACAACTTCCAAATCCCGCGGTGTTCTGAGTGCCTTACACCCCCACCTCCCCCCAAAAGGTGTTTCTGGTCTTTGTGCTCCTTCCTCCTGCGCCTCCCGCACCTCAGAGCTGCTCGTGCCTCTCGGTACCTCTGTCCCCTGGGCTGCACCCCCGACCTGCCCGGCTGTGCCTGCGCGTCCTGCGTGGCCAGATCCTGTGTCGGTCCGGTGAGGTCTGTGCCACAGCGGGGACGCGTCCCCTTGGCATCCCCTTGGCTTTCCTTTGGCCACCCCTTGGCTTTCCTTTGGCTTTCCCATGGCGTCCCCATGGCATCCCTTTGGCTTTCCCTTGGTGTCCCCTTGACTTCCCCTTGGCATCCCCATGGCTTTCCCTTGGCTTTCCCTTGGTGTCCCCATGGTGTCCCCTTGGTGTCCTCATGGCGTCCCCATGGCTTTCCGTTGGCTTCCCCTTGGCTTCCCCTTGGTGTCCCCATGCCTCCCCCTCAGGTCCGGGTGTGTGGGTGACCCGAGGAGCGTTACTAAAGGACTGTGCGCACTGGTAGCGCCCGGGGGTCAGGAGAGGTTGCGGCGTTGCCGTGTCCCCTCGCCGGCTGGGTGCCCGTGTTTTACAGGAGAGGAGAGACGTCATTTGGGAATGCCGGTCTCCACGCTGGAGCTTTAGGCACGGGGCAGCGCGCGGAGAATGGGCTCCTTTGGCAAAGGCCGGTGGCGATGGGGCAGCGGGGGCGGGCGCAGCACGGCGCTGAACGTGGCGTGGGAACGGTAAATTTGATGTACATCTGCCGTCTATGCAGAATGTTTTATTGACGCCCGGCTAAAAAATGTACATTGAATTCGTCCTCCAGGTGTTAGGGAAACTCTGCTTATAAGCGCCTAAGAAATTGATTATACATAATTTTGTGTTTAAATATAGCTAATATTTAATATTAAATATTTTATTATTTAATATGTAATTTAAATTAAAAGCTCATTTGTCAATATGGCGTGTAAATATTTCCCCCGTATGAATTATAAATATTCCTCATCTGAATTCTGGGTTTTTTTGAATGAAAAGCAATTTTTCTGCAAAGCAGTCACTGAGAAATACTTGACAAGCTGCTGCCGAGCTTTTCCCTTTCACAGTCCTTCACACCTTCAGCAGCCGCGCGGTGTCCGCGTCACTGAAAATAACGGAAACATTAAAACATTCTGTGTTGAATCGGTACATGCGGAAATGGGACTCTGCTCCGGCCGGCGGCGGCGGTGGTGCGGTTAAAGGTGTTTCTGGTCTTTGTGCTCCTTCCTCCTGCGCCTCCCGCACCTCAGAGCTGCTCGTGCCTCTCGGTACCTCTGTCCCCTGGGCTGCACCCCCGACCTGCCCGGCTGTGCCTGCGCGTCCTGCGTGGCCAGATCCTGTGTCGGTCCGGTGAGGTCTGTGCCACAGCGGGGACACGTCCCCTTGGCATCCCCTTGGCTTTCCCTTGGCTTTCCCATGGTGTCCCCGTGGCATCCCCTTGGCTTTCCCGTGGCGTCCCCCTGGCATCCCCTTGGCTTTCCTTTGGCCACCCCTTGGCTTTCCTTTGGCTTTCCCATGGCGTCCCCATGGCATCCCTTTGGCTTTCCCTTGGTGTCCCCTTGACTTCCCCTTGGCATCCCCATGGCTTTCCCTTGGTGTCCCCTTGACTTCCCCTTGGCATCCCCATGGCTTTCCCTTGGTGTCCCCTTGACTTCCCCTTGGCATCCCCATGGCTTTCCCTTGGCTTTCCCTTGGTGTCCCCATGGTGTCCCCTTGGTGTCCTCATGGCGTCCCCATGGCTTTCCGTTGGCTTCCCCTTGGCTTCCCCTTGGTGTCCCCATGGCTTCCCCTTGGCTTCCCCTTGGTGTCCCCGTGCCTCCCCCTCAGGTCCGGGTGTGTGGGTGACCCGAGGAGCGTTACTAAAGGACTGTGCGCACTGGTAGCGCCCGGGGGTCAGGAGAGGTTGCGGCGTTGCCGTGTCCCCTCGCCGGCTGGGTGCCCGTGTTTTACAGGAGAGGAGAGACGTCATTTGGGAATGCCGGTCTCCACGCTGGAGCTCCACCGGTGCCTTTAGGCACGGGGCGGCGCGCGGAGAATGGGCTCCTTTGGCAAAGGCCGGTGGCGATGGGGCAGCGGGGGCGGGCGCAGCACGGCGCTGAACGTGGCGTGGGAACGGTAAATTTGATGTACATCTGCCGTCTATGCAGAATGTTTTATTGACGCCCGGCTAAAAAATGTACATTGAATTCGTCCTCCAGGTGTTAGGGAAACTCTGCTTATAAGCACCTAAGAAATTGATTATACATAATTTTGTGTTTAAATATAGCTAATATTTAATATTAAATATTTTATTATTTAATATGTAATTTAAATTAAAAGCTCATTTGTCAATATGGCGTGTAAATATTTCCCCCGTATGAATTATAAATATTCCTCATCTGAATTCTGGGTTTTTTTGAATGAAAAGCAATTTTTCTGCAAAGCAGTCACTGAGAAATACTTGACAAGCTGCTGCCGAGCTTTTCCCTTTCACAGTCCTTCACACCTTCAGCAGCCGCGCGGTGTCCGCGTCACTGAAAATAACGGAAACATTAAAACATTCTGTGTTGAATCGGTACATGCGGAAATGGGACTCTGCTCCGGCCGGCGGCGGCGGTGGTGCGGTTGGGGGCTGTGGGGGGTCGTTGTGCCGTGGGATCCTGCGAATCCGCAGCCGCCCGTGGAAGGGGACGCGGGTCGGGCGCCGGGCTGCTTCGCCGGGACAGCCCAGAGGTGTGTGCCGGGAGAGGAGAGTGTCCGTCTGTATGGATATGGGTATGGTATGGATATGGATACGGTATGGATATGGGTACGGTATGGATATGGGTATGGTATGGATATGGATACGGTATGGATATGGATACAG